CGCACAGCGGAGTCCTGCGGAAGGGCCTCGTGGGAGCGGCCCCGCGGGCGCCTCCGGGACGAGCCGGCCGCGACCGGGGTGTGTGATGTGCCGGGAGTCCGCGCTGGGCGGGGCCGTCTGCCCGCCGCTGCTTTCCGCACCCCGACTGGGTCCTGAGGGCCAGCAGGAGTGAGTGTGCCGGGGACTGCGCCCCGGGGCGATGAGGGAAAATCGGGCGCCGAGAGCGGGGCCGGCGTCGGGAGGCTCCGTGGCCCTGGGGGAGAGTGGGCCTGGGCCGCTTCTCCGGCTGTGGCGGCCCCGCTCTCCGCGCCTGCTGAGTGCCCGCGCCGTCTCCGCCGCCGGTCGGGGGTAAACTTGTAGCCTTTCTTTCGGTTAACACCACTTAGCTGATCTGTGTTTACTTCAAATCCGGTTCTCACCGCCTTGGCGGGCGCAAACAGGAACGGCTAAAGAGAGGTAAGGCCGCAGCCGGCGGGAGTAGGTGTAACGGGTGCGTGAAAGTGCCCGCACATGGTGCAGCGCTCCGTTCGCTCCAGGTGAGTGCGAGTTGGCGTCATCGGGCTTCAGCAGAAAGGACCCTGAGGGTCTCATTGCTTGGAGAGGCCCGTGTGTAGACCTCAGGCACGGTTGCATCGTGGTGCCTGGAACTTGCCGTCAGTGATGCGCAGTTGTGGGCAGTACTGACCTCTGTGAGCTGCATTCTCGGGCAGGTGCGTGAGTGGTGCTGGGACTGCCTCCCTCAGCCCTGGCCGTCCATCTAGCCTATGAAGCAATCCTGGTGGGGAAGGGAGAGACTTCCGCGAAAGTCCCGGGCGCGAGTGTGTCACGTGCCCATCTGGCCAGTCGGGCCAAGGTCTCATGCCACACCATCACCTAAGTTCTCCTATGCAGAGTGGGACAGATGTCCAGGGAAAAGGGAGCAGGGTGAACGGATGCTGGGCGCACCAATCTGTCTCAGTGTGAGGCTGGAGGACCCGTGCTTTGTGATGTTGGGTCAGCTGCTCTCTCTCAGCTCTTGTACTAAAATTTTTTATCCATGTCATTTTCTCATATGTCTACGTTCTATTTCCTTCAGTGTAATACGCCTCATGTGCTCTGTCTGTGGGGACTTGGTGTGGAGGGAACCTGGGACATGCTTCATGGTCTGCAAGTGTGGTGGACTGTATGTAGGTGGGAAATTGGGAGAGACTGTCTCACCTGAAATCTCCTGCAAGGCCTTGAGAGCCTGCTCTGAGGGCACCCTTTCTGTTTGTGAACTGAGTGGTGGAATCATAAATACGATTTTAGAGATTATACCTTTGAAAGCAAGAACGAGAGATGTTTGTTTGTGATGGGTCAGGCAGAGTCTGTTTTATTTTATTTTGTGTGGCTCTCGGCTGACTTTCATTCAGCATCCAGCCTGGACACTTAACTGAGTCCAAACATATCTGTATTTGAGTTAACCAGTGAGATGTTTTGTGCATGACAGTGTTAACTTTAGGGTGAACGTTTAAAAGAAACAGAACGAGTTTTCTGTGGTGGTTCTGTTTTGGGCTGTTGCTGTGTTTGTTACTAGGTATTGGCCCAAGGTGAGCTACCTGGCCATTTGGTTCTTGGGCCAGGAGCTTGGGGGCAGTGCTGGGCAGGAAGCACTCCCTTCCCAGGCTGTCTGTGGCCTGCTTCTGCTGCAGGCGCACCAGCCGTCTCTGCTGGGGCCTGACAGGCGCCTGTGTGGTGCGGAGCTGGGTCGCAGGGAGGCCATTGCATGTGTGTGTGGAGACTTGACCAGGGAAATCAGGAAGGCGTTTGAGGGACTTGGCTCTGGAGCTAGCCCGGAAAGGGCCTAGGTGAATCTTCTGCCAGCAGAGACTGGGCTGGGAAGCAGCCACATGATTAGGATGAGAAGGGGGTTTGGCACTTCGGCGAATCAGGGGCCTTGGGAGTCGGGAACTAGGAGGGCTGGCGGTGGCTGCTTTGTAGAGGGCTTGGCACGTAGAGGGAGGTTTTGCTGGGCTATTGGGGAATCTTGAAGGGCTGTGATCGGAACTGTGCATTGAGAAAGTTAATCTGACTTAAGTGTGCAAGATGGACTGAGGTGGGGAGACTGTTGTGGTAGTTGATGGGAAAAGTAATGAGACGCTGCATTAGGTGGGTGGGAATTGGAAAGAGGAGGGGAACGAGGATCCTGAGGTTCAGGGACCCCAGGGCAAGAAGCAGAGGTGGGCAGTGGTGCACACAGTAGGGCCCCTGCGGGTGCCCTGACTGAACCTCACTCTGCAGGCCCTGGGGGTATGGAGTGAGCCCCCCAAGCCCGGTCATAGTCTGATGGGGATAGTGCTCTGAGCAGCATACAACCAGCAAAGGGGCCAGGAGTCCATAGAGCCCACTGATGAGGTAAGGTGTAGGCAGAGAGTGAAGGGAGGGAAGGAGTGAGTGTGTGTGGCTGTCCCCGGGGAACTGAAAGTGCAAGGGACCTGAGGCTGAGGGAGGAGAACAAGCACAGTGGCGGGTGGAGTGACTTCAGGTTTGTGCTGGCCACGAGGTCAGGGTGGAGATCCTGGCCACTGGTGTCCAGTGCTGTGGCAAGGCAGGTTGGGGACCCTGAGTGGCAGTGTATGTGGTGTGGAGGTGAGGGGGACGGCTGTGTCTCCTCTCTCAAGGCCTGTAGCCAACCTGCCACCACTGTAGCCTGGATGCTCCTCTCCGCCCCTGCATGTTCTCTGTCAGATTTTAGACCAGTGGCGTTCACACTTGATTTATTTATCTTTTGGTGAGGAAGATTGGCCCTCAGCTAACATCTGTTGCCGCTCTTCCTCTTTTTGCCTGAGGAAGATTGTCCCTGAGCTAAGAGCTTTGCCCAACTTCCTTTATTTTGTGTGTGGGACGCCACCACAGCACGGCTTGATGAGCAGTGTTTAAGTCCACGTCTGGGATCCGAACCCGTGAACCCCAGGCCGCTGAAGTGGAGCACGTGAACCTAACCACTACGCCACTGGTCTGACCCCCACACTTTATTTTTATTAGTAGAACTTTTTGCTTTTCCATCTTACATTATGAGAAACTCCAGTATATAAAGCAGATCAAGTTGGAGCTGTTCTGGTGCCTGTGAGAGTGGGGAGCCCTGTCTCTCCCATCACCACCCACCCCCACCTCCCCAGAGCATAGCTGAGGTGTCCAGGGTCCCCTCATCCCGCCCGTGTCTCTTCTTTTGAGTGATGGTCACTGCTTCACTCCCGGTCCCCAGCCTTTGGTGCTGTCCCTGCCATGCCATCTTGTGTGTCCCATATTGTCCTTGCCGTTCACACTGAACCACTGGAGTGACCTAAGATCTGATTTACCTCAAGACTTGGGTCTAAAACTTTTCTGGGGTGCTGCTTGGCCACTTGCCTCCCTGGCCAGTCTTATCAGCCACCATTCATTGTGCTTTGACTCCTGACGCAGTGACTGAGTGCTGTACCCTGGACACCACGCTTTCTTAGGCCTCTGCCTGTCCACCTGTAGCTCCTTCTGCCTGGTAGGCGCTCCTTCCCCTCTGCCCAGCACATGCATCTGAGTCTTTCAAGGGTCCCCATTTCTCTCTCCAGTCTCAGAGAGAGGCTCTTCTCTGCTCCCCTGTTCCTTCCACCCACTTGGGACCAGTGGTGGACGTGCTGGACAGTGTTTAACCATGGCCTTTCGCGGGGGCTGGTTTGGGGGTGCATCCTGGTTTCTGTGGTGTAGACACTCTGTCGTCGTGGCATCGCCAAGCATGGGATTGGGGGGATGAGCACAGCCACTTGGGTGCTGCCCCACGCTGACTCCAGCACACCTCTGCTTATGGCCCTTTGAACTTAGGCGTCTTTCTCTCTGTTTGGGTTCTTTGAGGTCAGGAGTGAGACTTCAGGGTTTTTTTTCATCTTTGCGCCTGACACTGCATAAGTGAAGCTTGCGGCACGGCAGGTAGAGAAGGAGGATCTGCGAGGCCTGCGGGCATCTGAATGGGTGGGCAAGTCGGACAACCCCCGCGCCTCGATTTGGGTGACTGGGGTGAAATGTGCACCCACGATGGGCTGCAGAGGTGCGTGGCTTCTAAAGCTGTGTGTGGGTGGGGAAGGCGGTGGTGGGCTACCCCTTGTCCTTTGTAAATGTAAATGTGTGTTTTTGACAGATGAGCAACAACAGCAATAAGAGAGCTCCGACAACAGCCACCCAGCGACTGAAGCAGGACTACCTGCGAATTAAGAAAGACCCAGTGCCTTACATCTGCGCTGAGCCCCTCCCTTCCAACATTCTTGAATGGTAAGGCCTGCGTCACTCACTGTTTCCTGGGCTCTCTGCTGGCTGGGCTGGGTGGGGTGTGAGCTCCAGGTGTGAGCAGACTGTGAGGCCCACAGACACGCTCTGGTCATCTTTATAACGGGCAGCAGCTGGGGACACAACAGGTCCTCCTTGACCCCTGCACGCTGGGCCTGGAGAGTCCTTCCTGGAGGTGGATAGGTCTGCAGGGTTTGTAGGGGGTGCTATGGGCTGGTCAGGTCTCACAGCTGTTGGAGGAGAAGCTGCATTTCTAGACTCTTCTTCTGTGCACTTTGCCTCTTGGCGCTGTAAAGTGGCCTGTCCTCCCTTGGAGAGTTCGTGATGGGGGCACAGGGGTCCTGATACTCCACCTCCTGGCAGTGGCCCGGGCACTTCCCTGGGAGGATCTGTGCCTTGTGAACATTCGTTTCATAGTAGCTTCTTCGTTGTGTTTAAGTGTTGTTACAAGGCTGCATGCCTTGACAGAAATGCTTCCGTTGTCAGCTTTGCTGGTGATTTTGTGAGAGATGAAATAGAGCTGAGATATTAAGAAGCATTTTCTCTTTGTTTGGAGGGTATTTTATGGTTTGATTTTAAAAAGTACTTTTTAATTTTTTTAAATCTAGAGAAAAGAGATCTGAGTTAACAAGAAGTAGTTTCCAGATCGGACAGGTGTTCAAGGATTCTGCGTCCACTTTTCTTGGTTTACAGAGAAGGGCCACCTCTGGCGGAGAGTGGAGGATTCTCAGGGTGAAGTGGGCCTCATGTGTGAGTGAGAGTCGGTGTCACAGCAGAGCTCTCCCTGTCCCCAAACGACATAAACCCTGTGGGGCCCCCAGGACGTGGTTGGCAGATGGAGGGCCGGGTTCCACAGCAATTGGGGGAACATCCTCATTGTGTGGGGAACTCCTCCCTGCGTGCAAGTCAGGGTCTCCAGGTTTGATCACTGGCTAGGAAGACCCACCACTAAGTTTTATTATGGTGAAAAGACAGCAAAATCAGTAAAGGGAGAAGGCACAGGGGCAGAGTCTACAAGAGACCAGGCCTGAGCTTCCCATCCCCCCAAGTTCCCCTGCAGTGAGCTGTGACAACCATGTGAGGTGCTGTCTACTGGGGAAGCCCATGAGAGACCAAGTGCCCAGGGTTGTCAATGTGGGCAGGTGGCGTAGGCACCTCTGCTGGTGCCTACCAATATTCCAGACTCCAGCAGGAAAACAGGTTTCCTTTCAGCATAATATCCACATTGTTTGCACAGTTTAGGCATCACTGGGGTGGTGAGACCCCGTCCCCCCAGTCCAGTTCTCGGATAGCAGCTGAGGAGAGCAGTGGGGCTCATGTGTGAGCTCTTCTGCCCAGCCATGGGTGTCTCTCCCCCTGGCTGAGAGAAGAGAAGCACCTTTCTAGAAAAGGCCTGTCCTCACTCTGCCCCCTCAGGGCTGCTGGGCACTCACAGGGCGCTTGCTCACTGTCCCTTCCCAGTGTTCTCAGACTGGGAGCAGTAACGGATGATGAAGGCCACGTTCCTAGGTGTGTCACGTGCTTAGCTCTGAGGGTTGTTCCTGGTCCACTGACAGGTGAGAGGATTTTTTGAGTCAAACATAGCAGATGGCAGGTGTTGTGTGATCCACTGTGTCAAAATGAGGTATGTGTGTATCCTGGGGGGAGGGATAGTCGTCAAGATGTGGGCAGTTGTGTCTGGTCTGGCAATTCTGGTAGTTCTGCTTTCTTCTTTGTGCTTCTCTGTTGTGTTTGAAAATCCGTAAGCCCACATACCTCGACATAGAGCTGAAGCCTCCTTTATTTGCGTGGGAGAGCGGAGCCTCTGGGCACCACTGTTCTTGTTCTGAGGCACACGGGCCCACCTGGGCTTGGGTTCCGTGTGAGGCTTTGGTGACAGTTACGGGCTGTTCTTGTTCCTCCTGCTTGAGGACGGCTGCTCTGAGGTTGTGTCTGGTTCTTCCAGGACATCAGCGCTGGGGGACACAGAGGCACCTCCTGTCACCAGCTGTTCCCTGTTTAGCCTGCTGCGTGATATTTGGACATACTGAAAAATATGAATTTTCAAGTACATCTCAAGAATGTATTGTGAAATTAAAATGTTAAAAATTTTCAGTTGATGGTGGTGGTTAGAGAGGATTAACTTCTTGTATATTGTATTGTGGACACAAAAGTACTTTGTGGAAAACTTAGTTCAACTTCTAAGATCCTCTTACAAAGTGACTAACGCACCTACAGCACAAAGACTGCGGGGCTTTGAAGCTGCCTTGCTGGTCGGAGTTTAACCTTCCGTTGTTCACTTACTGAGAGTCTGAACGTCCAGCTTGGGCCGGGCCCTACAAACCCCAGCCTTGGAGTGCTTCAGATTTTGGAGAATTTGCCATTCCCAAAGCCACCTGATTTTCTTCTCTCCCTCAGGCACTATGTGGTCCGAGGCCCTGAGATGACTCCTTATGAAGGTAAGTCTTTGCTCTGAGTGGGAAGAACAAGAGGCAGTTTTTCTATTGTGAATAGACCTTGCCTGTTAAACACCTTTCATTTGTAAATAGCACGCTTTCTGTTTTGGATGTGGGTTAGTTAGATTGGACTTATTGGGAACTTATCCTATTATTTCTCCAAGTCCTAGAGGCGTTTGCTGAAAATTTTGTTTTGCAGACGTGTCTCAGTCTTCAGGGACCATTGTAGGTGTCCAATGTCACTGGGCTCAGAGCTGGGACGCAGACTGGGGTAAACAGTAAAACCCTGCCAGGTGCTCCTCCCGTTTCGTAAGACCGGGACGAGTGTCGTTAAAGGAGAGAAAAGTGTGTTTATGGAGTGCTTGCTCACGCAGTGCCCAGTCCTCTGAGCTAAGTGGTGGCCCCCTGTGTGGGCGGGGCACTGAGGCCTACGGAGGCTGTAGGACCCACCTGGGGCGGCTGAGTACCTCCGCTCTCCTTACTGCTGCCGAGGCTGATCTGTGACGCCTCGTAGGGTCCTCTGGTGTCGTTTACAAGGTAGGCCTGGGAGCTGTCAATCAGCAAGCCTCTGGGGGCCTGCGGGGAGCCTTGGGCTTTATGCCAGGTCGAGAGATGAGCTGTGGCAGGAAAGCCCAGGGCAGAGCCAGGCCAGGTGGGCAGAGCCAGGCCAGGTGGGCAGAGCCAGGCCAGGTGGGCAGTGCCTTCAGCTCTTTAGCCACTGGGTCGTGACTTCAGGTGGCCAAAGCAGCAGTTTGGTCTGCGTTCGTGTCCGGGTTTTGCATAAGATTTCACTAGAAACTAGTTCTGCTGCTAGACGAGAAAGTTTGAAAACCACTGCTCTGGATCTTCAGAGGAGAGCTGGGTAGTTAGAATGGAAAAGGCCCAGCTCTCTGGAAGGTGGTTTGGCAGATGTGTCGCTAGTCTTATGGGGACTCTCCTTTGGCCCAGGAATCCCCATTCTGGGATGATCTGCCCTGGGGAAACAAGTGTGCAGAAGCATCCATCTGTAGGGTGGGCGTATTATTAGAACGTTACTTTGGGGACCGCCCAAATGCCCAGCAGCAGGGTATGGGCTTGATGACACCTTGTGGTGGGTTCCTAGAAAGATGGGCTTCAGAACGGTCTGTGCAGCTCATATTAAAATGCTTATTAAATACATGTATGTTTTTAACAAACTTGAAGCATGGACACCAAGAATGAGCAGTGTTCTCTTTTAAGTTTTTTTATACTTTGTGGTTTTAGACTTTCCAAATAAATAGTGAACATGTATTAATTTTGTAACCAGACCCCACACCCTCCCACCCCCAAGACGGGCCAGGACTGTTGCTGGCTGAAATGAGCCTGACCTCTGGACGGGTGGAGGTGGCAGAGGGGGGAGGGCAGGCCCTGAGTGGAGGTGTGCAGGGGCTGGGACTGCAGGAGACCCCGTGTCCCCCCAGCCCCTGCGAGCCTGGTATCGGCTGACTGCAGAAAGGCGTGCTCCCTTTCTAGACCCACTCCTGCTTTTGGCTGTCCTATTCTCTCTCCTTTGTACTTCTCTGCTGGTCCTGGCCCGCAGGCTGCAAATATGCCCACCCTCCTGTGAATATTCTCTTCAGAGACAAAAAGCTTTTCCCCCTGCCCTCCTCCTCCCCTCCCTCCACTGCCCTCCTCTCCTCCCTCCACTGCCCTCCTCCCTCCACTGCCCTCCTCCCTTCACCCTCCACTGCCCTCCTCTCCCCGCCCTCCACTGCCCTTCCCATCCTCCCTCCGCTGCCCTCCTTCCCTCCTCCTTCTGCTGCTCTCCTCCCCTCCTCCCTCCGCTGCCCTCCTCCCCTCCTCCCTCCGCTGCCCTCCTCCCCTCCTCCCTCCGCTGCCCTCCTCCCTCCGCTGCCCTCCTCCCCTCCTCCCTCTGCTGCCCTTCCCCTCC